GTCTGTTAGTCTTGGATTGTGTGGATTTGCAGTGACGGCTTGATGTGCTCTATGCTTTTGTTCCAACAAAATCTGTATAAGCGATTGATTTTCGTTAAACCAGTCTGGTTGTTTCTTTTTGTTGGATTTTCCCAGTACTGTTTCGCTGGTTTTGTGAATCGCATCTCTTAGTTGTGTCCAGCCATGTTCAGCATCCACGATTGAGATTGCAGTTATCGGTGGAAGTTATTCTTTGATGGCTTCCCGGAGGGCGTCGGCGGTATCGTTGTTCTCTAGACCCCGTACGTTCAATCTGGTCATGTAGGTTTGCTTTTTACAGTGTGGATGTTTGGGTTTTAACTGGATTTTCATTTTTGAGATTAAAAGTCGGTGGTCAGTGTCGCATTCGGCATCTACTCTGGCTTTTGTGAGACTGACATCTTTTAGGTGCGTCCTTCGAACGATTACGTGGTCCAATTGGTGCCAATGGCTTGATCACGGATGTTTCCAGGTGCCTTTAAATTTGTCCTTCAGCATGAACCACGTATTGGTGATGCAAAGATTATACTCTGTGCATGTTGTTAATAAGCGTTCACCATTGCTATTTACACTTCCCATTCCATGTTTTCCCAATACGTCAGGCCATATTTCCTGTTGTTTGCCTACACGGGCATTAAAATCACCTAGCAAAATGATTCGTTCGTGCTTTGGAATTTGTTGGAGTATATTTTGCAGAGCTTGGTAAAATTTATCCTTATCCTCAATTTTAGCGTCTAGGGTAGGAGCGTAGGCACTTATGATGTTGACGTAAGTTTTGTCTGATATGGGGTACCTTAGAGTCATAAGACGTTCGGAGACACCAATAGGTACCTCTGTTAATTTAGTGGCGATTTCGTTTTTGATTGCAATGCCTACGCCATGAATTCTCCTGTGTGTTGCCGGGTGACCCTTCCAAAAGAAGGTGTAATGCTCCTCAGTGAGACTACCTTCATCCGCAAAGCGGGTTTCGCTAAGAGCGGCAACATCTATATTTAGTCGGTGGAGTTCCTGTGAGACCAGTGCTGTTCTTCTCCCTGGTCGATTGGAGTTTGTCCTGTCCAGTAGAGTGCGGACTTTCCACGCCGCAAACGTGAAACATTGACGATATTTAGTTCTCCGATGATACGCTCGAGCAGGCACCCCCTCCCGGAGATACGATCAAGGGGGTATTTTACCTCCGGACGATGATTTTGTCCTACTCGAATGTTTCATCTTTAATGAGTGTAAGCTGCGTAAAAAGGTTAAATTGTGACGGTTACGCTGCCGCACAGTTTGGCTGCAACTGTAGCACGGGATGGCTATGGCACAGTGAGGACTGCGACGATAGTTCCCTTGCGCTACGTTCTCGGCCGGCTAGGAGTAGTTTACTACTCCTCTTCCCCAGAAAGGTGGTAGGTCTGAGGGTTGTATAATGATATACCGCCTATACTCGGTCGTCAGAGCTTCGTTTGTTTAAACAGGGTGCACCACGTGAAGGTGAGGTTGACTTTTGGGTAAGCTAGGCTATATGTATCGCTTCAATACCCCTTGCACTCCCTGGGGAATTGCATTCCACTCGTGTTGTATCGAATATCGAAACTCTTCTAGTGTATTTGGAACAGGATTTCTTGGTCGTATGCGAAGTTTTAGCTCATCCCACAAATGCTCAATGGGATTTAAGTCTGGGCTATATGGTGACCAACCTAATTTTTGAATTTTGACTACATCAAGATAATTAGTCACTATGCCAGCTGCATGTGGTAGAGCATTATGGTGCATAAATAGGAATCTGTCGTATCCAATGAGGCCCACATATGGCAAAACATGATCTTGGATGATATTTTCAATATACCAGTCACTGGTCATTCGTCCAATAATTTCTATGAGTTCGGTGCGTCCCTCCCAATGAATGCCTCGCCAAACCATCATACCGCCATCTCCAAAACTAACAGTCTGTATAAAGGTTTATTCTCACTATACCTTCCATATCAGCTCCCTTCCGTTTCCCTTCCGTTTACATAAAATATTATATCATGTAAATGAATATGACAATGCACACTATCCGTTCCGTTTCCCTTCCGTTCCATATCCTTTCCTTCCATTTATTTTTTTGGCGGACGGACTGAAGCGTATCGGAAACAGTGTTGACAAGTTCTTACATTTGTACCAACTCTGTTAAAATTTTGCTGATATTTATTCTTTCGCCTCTTAATTAAATCTATTATCTTTTTCAAAAGATATAAATTCTTAAAATAAAACTTTTGTAACGGAACGGAAGTTTACGTATAGCATCAAAACAATAAAAATACGGAACGGATATGGAATGGAAATGGAAGGTATAGTGAGAATCAACCTTAAGGTTGCAGCTTCTGTATCGTTCCCCGACTTTTCTATAGACATGATTTCGCTCGTCTGGCTTCCATAATTGTATTCTACTCTCATCAGTGAATAGAACTTTTTTCTAGTCCTCGATATTTCACTGAATATGTGTTCTGGCAAAATGCAATCGACGAGTTTTGTGATTTTGGAGAAGACATGGAACTTCGGCAGGTCGTACCTTTTGCGTCCTTGGCCGCGTCTTCGTACAAAATTTCCATTCTCTTGATATCTAAACATTTGATACTGTAGACTGACCTCTTCTAAGACGCCGAGTGATTTCTATTTGTCTATATCCTTCCTCATACAAAGTTACAATTTGTCCCGCTTCAGCCTCACTGCAATACCTCACTGGTGGCATATTTCTTTTAAATAGAGAAAACAACAAATAAAGATCACTAACAAATTACTTAAATTCACTACAAATAGCTTAATTCAATATAATTCTTGATTTATGTGTAAGGAATTTTTAAATCTCAAAGAGGGCTATAGAAAATATACGCCATTAAAATTAATTAAATGTCAAAATATTTTAAAACAAATGAATATAATCGCCTACTGGACGAATAACATTAGCAAATTTATAAATGTACAACGATAATATAGAATCTTGTTCGAGTAATAATAGTGATAACAAAAAATATTCGATAATTTTGTCCATTAGTGTATAATTATGTCGTGTTAATATTAAATATTTTTTCCGCTTTTTTTTACTATGTATTATTATTATTATTTTTTCTTAATGTATTAATCGTATTTGAGAATATCAAATTAAGGCAAATGTATGCTTCTTCTAGGCAAAAGCGCACGTTTGCAATTAACACGGACTCTCATTTACAGAGTAACTTTAATATCTAACGTGCGCCAAACTTCGTTAAATTCGTATTACATGATACATAGGACTAAAATGATGAGAATAAACGATGTCATGTCATTTTACAAACTCCGCATAAATGTTTGCTCTTTTCCGAATAAACATGACCTTTACTCTTCTTACCGATCATTTTGTTATTATATTTTGCATTCGTATAATTCTAGCTACTATTATTGTGAAATTATTTTATACCTAAATATCAAGATTTTGTTTTTGTCAGCTGAAGGTACACAAAATAATTAATAGGGAAAGTAGTAATTAAGTAATTAAAACTGCAGAAAGGTATTTTTTTAAAAGTTTTTATATGACTATGCAAAGAATGACTGTTCTTTTGTAACAAATATTATTTTATATTCCATAATGAATAATAATGAACTACTGTAGGTGCATTTTTCAAAATACTTTAAATATTAAAATATTAAATACCTTAAAAGGAAAATTGCGTTTTTTTGTCAAATATGTTTAAAAGCATTGGTTTCTGAGATATTTAAATATGCCTGTTATAATAAAAAAGATTGTCAACACCTTGTACCGTACTTTTCAGAATTCATTTTTGTGAGCCAGAGGAATAAATTTTGCTGAAAAAATTGATTGTATCAAAAATTGCTGGCCTATTTTAAATATTTATTTTACATACATAACTATTTTTCGACATTTAAAATGCAACACCCAGTATCTTAAAAATAAACTGTAGCCGATTTAAATGCTTTTTCAAACTTTATCAGGGTTTTCTATAACTATCTGGCTCAGATTTCGAGTAAAAAGCGATTTTTCAAAAAAAAAGACAACCAAGGTAGCTAGGGTCGCCATGGCAACTTGCTAGTGACACTTAGTAGCTGTTTTCAAAATGGACATTTTAGTTTATGGATTTTTTTTATTTAAATTTATCCAGTTTACTTTTATCTAATTTACCTACAATAGTTAAATAAGTAGATATTTATTATTTTATCAAAATGGTGAAATGTTATGGAACGAATGGATATGATTATGAGCAAAATTACTTTTTTTATGAGCAAAATTACTTGAGTCTTTGCTAAAAAATGGCCAAATAGGAATCCTTCTAATAAGCATTTCTTTGAAACATTGCTTGCCTATTCCATAGAACGGATAATAAGGTTTATGGTAATAAAAAATAATAAATTATCCTAATATTCCTAATTGAACATTTATGTTTATGCTCATGAAATCGCGAGTGAATTAATTTCGGGAGACGATAATGCAATTTTATCGTCGTGTATAAAACCATATTTTTTTCCATAGCGAGTTACGTTTTAAAAAATATTCATTATAATTAATTAATATTCTTTAGTTGTCAATTTTGAGTCAATATTTTTTAATTCTCTTTCGTGTCGATTGCAGATTGAATTGGAGCCAGAAATGGATCAAAACGAAATAAGTAAATTACCAACAGATATTCAGGCTGAGGCGACAAACGCCATATCCAAACTACTTCCATTTAAATCCCGAACAACATATGACAAGGAATACAAAAATTTTCAAAAATAAAAGCAATTAAAAAACGTGTGAGAAGAAATAAAGTTTTTAACCCATCCTCGCTGTTAAAGTATCATTTAATCTACTCTTACGTTTAAAGTACTATTTTATCTACCATTTTTGATAGATATAAGGCAATTTTAACTTTTAACAGTTGCTATGGAAAAAACAAAATTTAATACGATTTCAATAAAACTGACAAGTTATGTTGCACGCCAAACCAAAATTGAATTCCATAGTTAATATTTTAACAGTTTACCTTGTATTTTCAACGTCCGTTCATCGGACGCATATAAAAACTATTTTCCAGCGTTTTAATTAACCAATCAAAACATTTCCTCTCCCAAACCATCATCAAAAAAGGCTTTACACACAAAAAAACGTTAACAAATTCAGCGTAGGCGCAAGCGCGCGGACCTCTTCCAGGCATAGAAAACCGGCACGATATCGCAGTCCTCATTCGAACACCTTCTTTACCGCCACATTCCCAAATCCAGGCTCAGAGTCGGTCCCGATCCAGGAAAAGTTTACGCAAAAACTCCCAGTTTTATCGACGACTTCAGCCGCTCCGAATTTCAGACCTAAAAGAACAATTATTTTATTATTTTTCGCAGAGATATAAACTTTTATTGAAGAATAACAAACATTTAAAACTACCAAAACTTAGTTTAAGTACGCTTAAAAGTGATTGAAGTGCAATATTAATTGAGTTAATTTAAATTACAAACAATAAACAAACGTAAATAATGTAGTTGAATCAAACGTTTTCATAACTGTGCAAACTATGATAGGCATTTACTATGTAAATCGTTAAATTTGGTTAAACGGTCGCTATAAATAGGATGATTCGTTGGCGAATAAAAATGAATAGTGTTTCTGTATTTGCTTTTGTGGCTTTTATTGCGTTTTGTGGCGGACTTTCGACGCCTGCTTGCGTTTGTGACAAGAGGGAATGCGAGATTATCAACGAGGTGGATTGTCCAGGTTTGGGAATTGTTGTGTGGGATCCATGCAAGTAAGTACCTTTTTGAGCATATTATAACCTATAAAATAAATAATTGCTTGAATGAATATGATAATATAATGTAAAAATAGTGCTTAGTATATGTTCGGTTAAATACAACTTAAAGTTATGTTTTATAGATACTAAATATAAAAATTCAGGCACCATTCTTCATTTATCATATGACCTGATAAGTTTCAAACATCTTTTATTAATTAATAAATAACTTATTGTATAAATAAAGTGTAAACATTTCTCTGGCACTTGAAGGGTCTAGGGAAAAAAACTTGATAAGTGCCAATTTCTTAACTTTACAATATTATAGTAGGTCTATCTGGTCCCTACAAAAATCAAAATCATATGATATATTATGCCTAGTAAAAATATAGAATACATGGAAAGAACCTGATAACCACCAGCCGTCCTGTGCTGTCCCGTAAAATTTAAAATTAGTAAAATGGCGCTTATCTTATTTTTCCCCTGTTCATTTGTTTTTAATTAAGTATTATATATTTTTTATACATTAAACTACAATATTGTATTTCATAGTAACTTTATATCTTTTTGAATAATTTCGGTACCTATTAAAACTCTAAAATTAATCTCATCACTAGAGAGTATTCGTATGTAATTCTAAATAATGAATTATAATTAACACAATAATAAGTTTAGCTATTGTTATAGTTAAGATAAATATTGTACGATCGAATAAAAATGGCGTCAGCGATGGCTATGAAATGACGATCAATGACATTTCCCATATAAATTTACATATAAAATGACAGCGATCTTCATTTCATAGCCATCGCTGACGCCGTTTTTATTCGATCATACGGCATTAAAAAAAGAGAACTTAATAAAAATATAGTTAATATAAAATATTAACTTATATATAATTTAATATTTTGCAAAATGCATTAAATGTTACAATTTTTAACTACCTTTATTTTAAGGTGGTTGTAAATTGATAGATAAATACACATAATATAATACAGAAGATAAATAATATTACACTATCAACTTTAATACTTTGACTACTATATTATGTCACTTTTTTTAATCACATATATTAATATATATGGTTTCAATCTTTTCTCCCCGTATTTGAATATACAAGATATTTCAGAATGTGTTCGATATTTCACAGGGTAATTTTTTATAAGATAAGCAGTTTATATAAACATGTGCGTTCGTTTTTTGAGATACAATGTGTCAAGGCTTGTACCAAATTTCATAAAAATATCTTGTGTGGCCCCGAAGATATTATAAAAAAACGATTTTTTCCTGACAACTAACCATTTTAAAACACAAGTTTATATAAAGTTTTTACCTTTTTTTAAAAATACTTGAGAAATTACCATGTGAAATATCGGACACTTATTTAGAAACACCTTGTATATGAAAACAGTTATTTTGCACAATATATTTATAAAATATTATTTTATTTATAAAACGACTTCTTTCTTGTTAAAAAATATTGCAAATAAACATTAATTATAAAGGAAAATAGTTAATAATATATACATTTCAATTTTGTTAAACAAATATGCTTTTTGCACATGTTGCACACAACGTTTTTTCTACGATCGAATTGAAATTTTTATAAATAATAATAATTTTAAATAATGTAATTCACAAAATAATATTACCACGAACACTGACACTTTTATTTTTTTAGTAACTTTTTTTGAGTCCATTTTAATTTTAATGTCGCAGTTTGAAAAATTTACTAAGGTAATTGATGGACAAACTTCATTTCTAGTAGTCTTTGGGAATTTTATTTCTATTTCTGCTCGTGGAGGTCCCGGGTTCTTGTTCTTCACTTAAAATTCTTTGCTGGAATGTTACTGCGACGTGTCCAGTACTACTGGTACCTTGGTTTATCTTCCAGGATTTGACAAATTTTTACAAAAATTTACAAATTTTTTCTCTTTAGTTAAAGTCGTCATTAATAATGTCAGTGTTTTTTGCACTAGTGCAAAAAAATTGACTTTTAATAAAGTACTTTGACTTGTTAATAAAGTAGTTTTTTCGTCAACTTTAAAGTGTTATTTATCTTTTTTTTATTTTTAGCCCAATTTTCAGGATTTATTTGACAAACTGTATATAAATATATCAACTTAAATTCTTATCCTCAGTTTTTTATAATCTTAAGTAGTGGGCTTTATTATACAGGGTTTGTCGAATGGTTGTTTTTTTTTCTTAAAATTAAAATACCCTGTGCAATAATTTCGTGAACAAATTTTCCTAAAACTTTATTTTTCTGTCAGAAGCATTGAACATTTTGTTTTTTGAAATGAACTTGTCACAATTTGCAATTTTTTCAATTATTAATAATATATCTAAATACCAGGCTTTTTTCAAAAGTGGTTCAACCCTTTAACTTTTTTTATTTTTATAGATAAAAAGAGATTTGATTGTTAATAAATACGATAAATCGGGATTGGTTTCGGTTACTTCTTGTTACATCAGAAGTTACTACAACTTTTGATTTTTGAATTGCACGCTGCATATTTTTTTACTTTTTTTACTTATTTGATAGAAAATGATATTGTGAATAGAATGTTATATCATACGTCAACTTTTTCCATTTTCAACAAAAATAGTATTTTAAATTTCAATCTAGAATGTTATGGCTGTGTTAAAACCACTAATTTTTGATCAAAGAGCCTTGAAAAAATAGATTTGATCGTCTAATATTTTTCTTATCTTTTCCTGGCTGGTTAAAAGATGTCTAAATAGTATTTTTAATCATAACTCAATTTATTCAAATATAACTAGGGTGGCGTATTAGCATATTTGGAAAAACCATTTTATTACGAATAATTTGGTACCGCATATTTGATATTTCGAGTCAAATTTTCCTTACATTTATAGTCGTCTATTCAGAATGTCATTTTCTATCAAATAAACTACAAATACCCAGCTGAACATTTAAAAATCAAAACTTTTTCCGTGGAAGTGACTAATTGAATACGTCAATCATTTCTGACTTATGTTCGATACTACCTTACCAAAAATAAAAAGTTATAGGGGTGAGCCACTTTTGAAAAATATGCGGAATATTCTTTCTTTCCATATTTTATAAAGAAAATACATAAAAAACACAAGGCCGATAACACAATATCTCTAGAAAACAAAAATATCAATATATTTTCCTGTCAACCTGTTTTTATAATATGTAAATATCGTAAGCATATAAAATTTTTATCGATGTCAATGGCCGTACACCGTACATTATGATTATTAGGAATATTTAGAAATTGAAGAGAAAAAGAATTACGACTGTTAATATATTTTTTATTTTTCTAAAATTTAATAATATTATACAATATAACTGTATAGAGGGAGCCAATAAAAATTGCATGATGCAGCAAATGCATTTCATTGTACTACTCAATTATTTAGAGTGGCATAAACGCTGCACGAATAGTGCCATTAATGTTCAAGAATAAATTAAAGACTATTGACGACGAAAATTTTAAAAACATTTTGTCGTTTTTGCAATAATTCTTCTGAGCACAATAAGATATTAAACGTACGATAATTCTGTAGTACGATAATTCTGTAGTACAATAATTCTGTAGTACGATAATTCTGTATTACAGTGTTTAGGCATCAATATGCTCTAAAATCTACTCTGCACTCTAATGTTAACTAAAGTTAACTAAAAACTATGGTTTTCTTATGTTGCACAAAATGCTTATGTTCCCACTGCTCGTACTACTTGGCGAAGTGATCAAGGTCGGAGTTTTAAAGTCGACCCAGAAAAATAGGTATAGGCTTGGTGCATTCTCCGCCGGTGCTGCCACCATCGGAGAATATCGTAAACAACTAGTATATACAAACACACGAGTTTACATAACGAGTATACGAAAAATGTATTATTTAATTATTCTAAAAGTGTTATGAAGTATAATTTGTGAATATTCTGAAAACAAAAATAATCCTCCTATTCTAATTAATCCTCCTACCTATTGGTATGGTCGGCTAAAAAGTGAATATCATATTTACTAGTGCATTTTTCAAACCACAAAATATACTTAAATTTTAACCCACACTAAACTAATGAACACTGAAAAACAAACATAAAATGTAATATACAAAATATCATGCCAATGTGATAAATTTTATATTTGTGAAACATCTAGACCGCTAAATGTTCGAATTAAAGAACATAAAGATTATTTAAAAAAGGGTGATTATTGCAAATTTAAGATTTGTAGGCATTCATGGGGCACAAGGCACAGAGCAGATTTTATTAGGCTTTTTAATACAGTCTAATATAAATAAACGTATTGCTCAGGCATCTGTAGAGGTTAATAATGTTTGGTTATCATAAATATATAAATGTCATTTTAACAAAACTCAACAGTTTCTAATAGTCGTATCTCTTGAGAAAAACTAAAGTGTTCTTGAATAGTTGTAGATAGATATTATAAATAATGTTTCCTTGTTCTTCGTGTTCTCTTTAAAAGGCTATAAGAGAGAATATTAATATAAGAGAGATATAAATATTAATATTAATATAAGAGAATCATAATAATAAGAGAGAATATTAATTTTGTATGTACATGT